TGTTCCACACCGTCTCACCATTAACTTCCTTCTTGCTGTGCAGTACCGCGTTGATATAGTCTGCACCAATCAGCATATGTATTTCGTCTGATGTCCCTTGTTGAGGCTTGTCACTCAGCTCTACTCCCCAACTGTGCCACTGCGCAATGGTCTGCGGACTTGCGCACTTCAGGTCCAGCTCAAGCGCTGGTTTCACGAACGCGCGTACCCGAATACTAGCGGAGCTACCCTGGATCGTGATGGCGTACTTATCCATGCGCTGTTGGGTTGGTTCCGCGCCGAACGGCTTCCCCTCTACATTTTCAACCCCAACGTGTTCTGCATCGATTGCTGACACCAACGCTGCAGTCACGAATGACGCCTCAGCACCCGAGTCCAGGAACACGCGAACCTTCGCGTTTCGAGTTCTTCCCTCAACTCGTGCCACTCCGGTCATCAGCCGCACACTTGGCGAGTGTAGACAGCACGACCCAACATTCTTCTCCGTAACTATCTCAGTCGGTTTCTCCCGGCTGTAACCTGCTCTATCCAACACATCATGTATTAGCAGGTGGTGTTTCCTCTGGCATTTCGTGCATCTCTAGCCTGACCGACATTCTCTGGCCATATGGCCATACTTAAGGCAGTTCCAGCAGAGTCTCTCTCGCTGCAGAAAACCCTTTCTCCCTTCCTGTGGCAGCGACTTTAGCTGCTTCTCTGCATCTGCGACCGATATCGCCATGCACTGTGCCGACGCCGTGGGCCTTGGCACGGATCGTTCTACTGGCTTCCTGGCAGTATCACCCTGTCGTCCGTGCGCGACCTGGTAAGACGCGCCATGCTCCTGTACCTGGCGCAGTGACATCCCGTAGCACTGCCGTTCAACCAGGTACGTCTTCATCTCAGGTCCGCATTGCTCCAAGATTACCTGCTTTGCCATTGCTTGCAGCACCAGGGACATTTTTCCTATATCGGCGCTATACTTGGTGTCCACCTCGCCATCTTCTGTCATAGCGAGTGTGGCCCACACCTCTACCTCTCGGCAAACACGGACAACGTATTGATGAAACGACTCATCTGACCGCTGCTTGCCTGTCAGCAATGTCTTCCACGCTTTATCCGGAGTCTTTCCGAGCGAGGCAAGCAACTCTCTCTTTGCTTCCTCGTAATTGTTGCATCCAATACATATCCTCTCCGCTTTGCTACCCGCTAGCGCGATGCGCAGTCGCAGCAGCCATTCGCTTTCTTCGAACTCGTTCTTGGAACAGATGTCCTCGAACAGGTCAAGATAACGCTCCAATGGCTGCGTTCCATCATATGAGGGGATTTTCATCAACGGTTGACGCCCACCGCTGTGACTGGGAGATTCCTCTGTACCTCCCATCGCGGCTTTACCCTCACCCTCATGCGCATTGGCGATGCGCTCGTTAATCTCCTTTAGTGTTTTGGCAAACTCGGTGCGGAGCGCCTCCTCTCGCCGTCTGGCTCTGCGCTCCTCACGCTCCGCGTACTGTTGGAGCCTCTGCTCCACATGTACCTTCGACAACTCGCCTTCTAATCCTAACCGCTCTCCATTGTCGATAAAGCTGGCTTCCAAATTGTTCCATAGTTCCTCTGCCATGCTCGCTCCGAATCCTGGCGTGATCGCCAAATGTTGTGAACCCTCTAAGATTCTCTTAATTGTCAGGATCGTACGACCACACGGCACGAGGACAACTCTTTTCCTTTGCACAGTATAATATTTCACTTCATCGAATAATTAACAATGAACACTAATAACACCAGCTATTTATAGCATGCAAAAACAGCGTACATGCAAAAACATACGCATATAAAACTGGACATAAACAGCGTATACAGCAAAACACACACAGCGCATATAGCGTATGCCATGCAGCAACCTCAGCGGTACGGCGGAGTCGAAAGACAACATTGCGACGAATACAATGCCATAAGCGCGAAGGCCTTTCCCGATTGAGAACTGGTGGTTTGCAACACTCTGTGTTTATGTCTGGGTGTGCGTGCGTTTTTCTACTAAGTTAGCAACCACACTCTGTGTTTATGTCTGGGTGTGCGTGCGTTTTTCTGCTAGCAACCACACTCTGTGTTGTATGTGTTTGTGGATGTGTGTTTCTTCCAGCATTCTCTACTTGCTTGTGTGTGGGTCCATGTTTGTATGAGGGCAGGTATGTGTGGGGTTTGGGGGAGGGTGGGGTTGGGCTGTTGTCTGAGTGTATTTGGGGCAGTTGGGGGCATGTGTGGGGTTTGGGAGGGGGGTGGGGGCATGTCTCTATGGGTATGCATGTCCAGCACCTAGACAATATAAAGTGAAATGATGTAAGGACGCAGTAGAGACTGACTTTGTGTCTGTTGGTGTACCTCTGTAACAGCTCAGTTCCATTGTCCAGGATGGGCAGGTATGGCGGATCACCTGCCATGACGCTGTCATTACTATTCTGCAGTTCTGTATGGAGACTGGAGTAAAGCCACTCACATGGGATATCTGTAAGAGCAGTTGCCCACGGCCCACGACACTTTGGGAGGCATAAATGTAATGCTGTTCCATTTTTCTGTCAGATGTCTCGGTAGATGTGTTGTTCAAAGCGATCCATGATGACAATGGCTAATGTGCCATTGAGTCGGCTACCCACTGCCTACCCTCTTATCTACTTGAATGTTCCAAGGGTTGGGTGCTGGAACACGTTGTTGTGTAGAAGTAGTCTGAGTAGCTCTTTGAGGTCCACTGATGTTAGGCAGTAGGTGTTGAGTTTAAAGTGATTTGTTTACAGTATGTTGTTGAGTTTGAAGTGATTTGTTTACAGAATGTTTTTGAGTCAGCAAGGTGCTCCTTGCAGAGTGTTTGCATGTCTTCCGTCTTCATCATCACCATCTCACCTCCTTCATCACTTCGGGTGACCACGATATCTTCACCCTCTCGTAATTACTTTAAGATTGGACACTTTCCATGTGCAGTGTGTATTGAAGTACATGTATGTAACATTCGTAGCAATATCCAAGATCGGTAATATTGCGAGTATTTATCAAATTGAGGACTGACACAACACAGCAGCATTCCTGTATGGCTGGAGGAGACAGTCATCCGAGTACAACGCCTGGGTTATTTTGAGCACGTTGCAAGTATGGATGACTCCAGGCTGCACAAACAGACCTATTTCACTGAGTGCACTGCTACGCGATATTGCCGCGTAACGCGTAACGCAGGGGGGTGCGGCGTAACGCGTGACCAGGCTAGTGCGACAAATTTTCGTTGAGTTCGTAACGCGCGTCCGGCGGGGTGCGGCGATCTTTTCATTGCAGTTTGCACTGCAAAAGAAAGGCTGAAAACTGTGAAAGCACGTGTACCGCGTGGTGAAAAGTGCAAAACTGGACGCAGCAGGAAGTCCTGACACTCGAAGGCGCATCATTCGGTGGTTGGCGATCTCAATGGTTTCTTCTTTCCCGAGGTTGTGAGTGACAGTAGTTTTTGGAGGAAGCGCTCTTCCCCTATGTCACTTTCCTTTTGATGATCTTTTTGTGAACAGATCACTCTGATAGTTAAAATATACAGTCTTCTATTGATATTGTTGTCGCCCTTTGCCGTCGGGTTTGTAACAGTTGGATAGCAACTGAATTTCTGTGCCTTAAATGTGGATGAAAAGAAAAAAATGATGCGGCAAAAGCAAAAAAATGATGCGGCAATAGCAAAAAAGTGATGCGGCAATAGCAAAAAAAGGACTGCGGCAATATAGAAACCTGTGTAACGGCTCCTGTGCGACTTTGCATGTAACGCCCTGCGTGCGGCAAACATGTGCCAATGTAACGCTTCATGGCCTCACTGCGGCAACATATATTGCCAGTACGGTATTTATCATTTATTCTTCTTTTGAACTGGCGGCGAGGTGACACAGCTCGTCTGAACCCTGCCTCCCTTTTCATTGCTACTTCCATTTTCGGATTTTATTTTCATTTCTTTTTCCCTTCATTTCTGACTCTTCTTACTGGTTGTCATCCCTTTCATAATATTGGGTAGAACTTCCCGTTTGACATGCGATGTAAAATAACTAAACAACAACAACAACAACAACAACAACAACTGTTTTAAGATGGCAATATACAGAATCAGCTGAAGCGACATGTTACGAAGGTTTTATTGAAATGTCACGTGATGATGGACAATGAAATAACGGTGATGTAATGTAATGTGAACGATGAAAAATATAGAAATATGCATCCAACTAGCTTTCGCACAACGCTCACCAGGAAGCATCGTTGTACTAATTAACAAATTGCAACACCGACTACTGTAAAGGACCAATAGTGATACATAAAACCTAAACAATGCCGACCAAGTATCACAAGGTATTCTTGAAAGATACCATGTGCGTTGAAGATAATAATCAAACACTCCAAGGCGACAAAATTCAAGTATGAAACAACACAAGTGACAACGTTCTGGCCCAACAAGGCCAGACTAACACAACATTTTCTTATGATCTTGAATTTCTCATCTCGGTGTTTACTATGAATGGCTACACGGAGTTGTTGCGTTACTGCAACAGCACTAAAGGGTAAATGCCCATGCACACTCTCTCAGTCCAACACAACCATCACACTCCGGTAGGAATTACAAACTATACTTGATGAAGACAGAAGGAGAAGGCCCGAACACGGGGAACAGAGTAGGCATGTAAACGGCACAGGCACCTAACAGTTACCGCTGGTGCATGCGAGGTGCATGTGCGTACGCGAAGGTGTGAAATAGGAAGCGGGGTCAAATTGCATATGGATGCACTATGCCAAATATATAGGCACAGGTAGGTGACTGTACATCTCCCCCCGAAACAAATGCGAACGGAGGAACACGAGATAGTGTGGAGCAAAGGAGAGAGGAAAAGGAACGATAGCAGTTCTGGAGCGGGTACCAACGTGAGCATTACTCAGAATGATAGAGAGAAAAAAAACATGAAAAGAACACAGTCATAGTTCAACTGGAACACATGGAGTAAACAGTGTTACTGTGTTCAGGTATTGGCAGCATAGCATTGCGGCGCATGGCGAACACGGCTGGATGGTGGTCGGCGACCGGGTGGCAGAGGCTTAGCAACTCTAGGAGACTGCGGCACAGGCAGAAGAGGTGGCAGAGTAGAGTTAGCTGGTAGTTGCAGGGCAACATGCACAGGAGCCGTAACACCATACTCAACCTCATACATGGGCTCAATGGAGGAGGGTGAGCGGGAGGGATCAGGGCGTTTGGCTGGCGTGGATGGCAACGCACGCACATGGCGACGATTTCGGCGGACAGATGACCCAGGAGTGAGGTCGATCGTGTAAGAGCGTTCGGACAGGCGGTTCTGGACGTGTCCTGTTTTGTCCATATCGGGGACATTCACAGGAGCACCAGGGGCGAGAACAGGCAGCAGTCGAGCATGGTGGCGTTGATTGTAGCGATCAGCCTGCCGAGACCTGGAAGATGTTTCTTTGTCGGCAAGGGCGGTCAAATCGGGCCAGGCTGGAGCAGGGAGGGGTCCTGGTAGCCGGGAGCGGATTTGGCGGCCGAACAACAGCTGTGACGGTGAATAACCGTTGGCCAATGGCGTAGACCGGTAGGCCAAGAGAGCGGAAGGCAAGTCATCATTCTTGAGGATGAGCTGCTTGGCTGTCTGAACGGCACGTTCTGCAGCGCCGTTGCTTTGGGCGAAGCGGGGACTTGACGTGCGATGGGCAAACCCAAGCTCGGCAGCAAATGCACGGAAGCTGGCACTAGCAAATTGTGGACCGTTGTCAGACACTAGCGTGTGTGGAATACCATGGGTAGAAAACACGGAGTGGAGAGAGGCAATCACAGCGGCAGACGTAGTAGTGGTAAGTTGTTTGACTTCGATGTAGCGCGAGAAATAGTCGACAACAACTAGGTAAGTGGATCCTTTGGCTGCGCACAGATCACACGCGATCTTTGACCATGGAAGAGATGGGAACTCTGGGGGTTCCCGTCCAGTCTTGCTGGAGTGTATCTAGTGCGTTCCGTCTCTTCGTCCAACCACCATGAGTTGTATGAAGGTAACTGTGTGATATGACAGTTGGAAAAGCGATCCACATCGTCTGGTCACAGTTCTCTGTGTATTTTCTGGAAGATACCGCTGTTCAGTGACCAGTCGCTGGGCTCTCCTATGCGCCTGAGGCGATCCCTTAGTTATCGTCTGCTGCTGGGATGTGCTTTGCCAGGAGGGTTGTCTTGAGCCGCGACGTTAGGACATTGATCCGACGAGCGCTGGGTTTGCTTGTTCCATGGTCATCAGCGATAACAATACTGCCGTTAGCTTTTTCTATTTCTCCGTGATATGCATGGCATGTGGGTTCGGCCAGAAGCTTCTCGCGGACATGCCGTGCTACAACCTCATGCCCACTCCGTAGTCCGAGGCATCCGTTATTATCGTTACGTTTGGGCAAGGTGCTGTCACGTACTGCGTTTGTAGGCTGTGTAGGCTGCGAGCCTTCGCCACGTATCCGTAAAATGCCCGCAGCATGAGTCTTGCTGGCGTAACAGCCTTTGTCACTGCAGTTATTCGTCCAGCAACTTGTGCAACGACTCGTGCATGGACTGATCTCTCGTGTGAATCCCTCAGGAGGCGGCTTTTTTGTCCTGTGGATCGTGCGCAGTTTGTCTGACGGCACTAGGACCAGCACATGGCGTGATGACGTGTCCCAACGTATCCCCAGTTACACCACACTCTGACCTGGATGAAGTGAAGACTTCTCCCTGTCAATCTGGAGTTGGAGTTGGCGAAACAGCGCCGTCACTTGCTCTGTTAGCAAGGTGCACTCCAGGAGATAAGCCGTGATAAGCAACCAATCGTCTGCGTAGGACGTTACTCTGGCACCCAGTGACAATCTTATGTGCCTCATTACTTCCCGCATGGTTTTCATGACCTGCCCACGGTCTGGTTGTTAGTCCGAATGCAAGGACGCGATAATGGTAATAGCTACTGTTCCACTGGAACCCAAGGTATGGCCGACACTCTGGGTACATCGACACGCGCAAGAAACCGTTTTGCAGGTCCAGTTAGCTACACCAGTCTCCTGGTTATGATCTCCTGCAGTGTGTCCAGGTTTCTCGTACCTGAAGCGTGATGCAACTACACACCGGTTCAGGCGCTTTAGGTTCAAAATAATACTTAGTTTTCCATAAAAAATTCTTTGGCAGCGTTGCTATTGGAGAGGTGCAATATGGTGGTGTTTGTGTCTTCTCAATAGCTCCCTGTAGGAGTAATTCTTGTATATGAGCTGTGATGAACTCTCTGCTCTCCTTCGTCATTGGCCTGTTACCTTCGTGGAACTCTGGCTGTGACTGTTTGAATGTCATTGGAAAACCATTGCTCAACCAGTCCAGGATAATTGCCCAAGCACCAATCCCTGCCTTTCTTTGTGTCTACGATGATCATACCTACCCGTAACGCTGTGTACCGCGGTCTCTACCTCTTCCTCTGTGTTATCGATTGTAACTCCTACCGCTAGTGGCCTTTTGTCTCCTGTTGGGAGCGGAACCAGCTTGCGCACTTGCGTGGAGAATGTCGCCGGATATGGCGATGAGGCGCCTATCCTCGTCGGTGAATAGATCGGTCGCGCGCAGGTGCTGCACAAGTCATCTCTGCGCTGCGGGCAAGCAGTCTGAGAGTGCGAGATCTGTCTGTACGTCCTGTAGTTCCGTAAGCCCAATCGTCTGGGTGCGCGAGAGGAAATCCTCTTCTCTGACGGTCGAGCTGACAAAGCTTGATTACGGTTTTGCTGTATTTGGCGAACTCGGAATGCTGTCGAGCTGGAGCTGCACTGCCTCGTTGCCGTCCTGCTGCTGAATTAGGAAACCCAAGTTGCTGTGGCAAAATGACGTCCTCGGGTCTCTCTTTGTATGTGTCCAGAGACAATGGCAAGGGACCGTTGGTCTGCGACTGTCTCAGTGAGCTGTTCACTAGATATGATGAGGACAACACGGGGAAGGCCACGTTCGTCGTGACGGTTCAAGGATGAACTGCCGTTGTACCGAGTCGTCGTCGTCGTTCAACCTCCATAGATTCTGCTTCGCGTTGGGTAAGATGATACTAAGATCGGAACGTAAACCGGAGGGGCTAACAATTGAAGTGGTGTTCCACCCGCACAACATTCCTTTTTAATCTCAGAATTGCGCTATGCTGAATTCTCACGTTTTATTTTAGTGATTCTCTAATCTATACGTTACCTTCTAGATTTCTCACTTATCGTGATCGGACAGGTACAAATAAAGTAGAACAAATCTGAGAGGGTTGCTGTGTGATAACTGGTGTAACGTTAGTAGGTAGGTAGGTACATTTTTATTTGTATTCGCAGAACCAAACGGGCGGTGTCGCCCAATTACATGGAAGCGAATGGAAACAGTAAAATATTGTAGGAAATAGCCTAACATGATAGCAGGGTGTAGTACAAAGCAAAGAACGGTCAGTCAATGAATAACGTTAACGTTAGAATACAACAACGGGGAGGCGGTAAACAGCACATGACTGGTACTGTGGAGCACCGCAAACGTTCTAAGATTTCTGTAGTGTTCAGTAGTGGGTGCTACTGCTAGCAAGACAGAACGGGAGGCAGGCTTGTTTGAACCGGTGGTACTGGGTAAAACCACGCACGTCGGATGGCAGGGTGTTCCTAACTCATGATATAAGCTACTGGTCGACTTGCACGCAAACGAATGCCGATTCCCGCGATATGCAAGTCTTGACAGTGTTGCCAGTGACACGGTATGATGCTGTATTCACATAACCTTGGTTTTATTATTATTATTTTGAGGGATTCCCCAAAGGCCGAAGCCTAAATCAAGGGGGTCTCCGAGAATAAATATACGTGTACAATGCGTGTACAATAGGGTGCAATTCTTAAAAGGAAGAAAAAATTAAGATAAAAAATATTAATGTGAAGAGGTTAAATAAGAAGTCTGAGTAGAAGCAAGTGAAAAGGTTTACTGGAATCCAACTATGAACTTTTTTTTTTTTGCATTCTCTCTCTCAGCAAACAAGCAACAAATTAGTGCGGATGCAGTTTTTGCCTCTCCTGAGATTTGAAATTTTCCATCGTGTAGGTTCATTCTACTGGCACGTAGCTTGCCCTATTACCTTCCATTTGACTTTTTAAGTCGGCTGCAGTGGTTTTATCGGTGGTGATTTGGCCTGCTCTGCTATTCTTGAGACCCAGGTGATTAATTGTCCTGCCGGTTCTCCATTGACATTGTAGTTTTAGGCTGCCCTCCCGTTTGTTGAAGCTGGGTAGCTGTGTGTAGCCTTCGTCGTCGGCCGGGTGTGCTTTGGAGACGCTAGTTGCCACACCGACTACGTTGTTGTCACGGACAAGCCCAGTGTGCTGTTTGCTGTTTGCGCACCTGGCTTGGCATTCACACTTCTGTTCGATGCTGGGACTAGTGTAGTAGTGAGAGGCGTGAGGGGCGCGCGCTGTTGAAACCACGTCAACACAGCTACAGAGCAATCATGTCGTTCGAGGGGATGGTGCGGGCCTTGGAGGCTCTAGCTGGAACGCCAGCAAGTGCTGCCTCTCTGGAACGGAGGCATGTTCGTGCGAGTGCTGTCAGGGATTGCGCACATGTACAGCCTCGACCTGTGTTTGAGCTGGGAGAGCTGTCGGAGTCACCTGAGAGTGTTGCTTCCAGCGTTGGCGTTGGTACCGGTCGAAAGTCGCCGACACAGCTCCCCGCACCGGACTCTGTTGGCATCGTAAATGCAGACCACCTCATGAAACAGTTCCGCACCTGTATGAGCGATCTTTTAGAAGAGCGCATGGAAACGGTCCTAGATTCCATTGCTCGTATCCGTGAGGAGGTGTCAGCCGTCAGTAACTCGTTCAATGGCTTGGATACTCGACTCAATATTCTTGAAAGAAGGCTTGAGAAGACGGATACCGGACCCTTGGAGCAAGCGATCAGGTCGCAAGGCGAAGAAATCCGACGTGTGGCTGCTAGCATGGACGTAACTTGCAGTCGAGTAAGGAAGCTGGAGGAGTGCCTGGCCGGCACCCAACCAGCCTGTACCAGTCCTTCACCGCGGGTGCATCCACGGCCCGCGCAGGCTGTGGGTGCGTGCCAGGCGCAGATGCACCCCCACTCCTACTCCAGGGCTGCGGCTGCGCCGGCTACCGATGGCTTTCGTGCCAAGGCTGCCCAGGCTGCACCAGACAGGACGAATGCAGGCTCAATAACGGAGCCCGCACTTCAGGCAACGGTGACATCTTGCTATCAGCGCCCTGCACGCAAGCACGACCGGTTAAGGGGTGCCAGTCGGCTAAGGTGCAAGGCCGTCTACGTTGGCCGTGTTGATGTCGGTTGCTCGGCAGGTTCAATCGCTAAATGGTGCGAGGACCGCAGTGTGACTGTCATCAAATGCTCAGTATCTGCGGCACGGTATTTTGGTCTGGCGTATGCCCACCTTGTTATTTCGGAGGAGCATTGGCAGAAGGTCCAGAGTCTAGACTTCTGGCCAAGTGGCATTTCGGTTCGTGAATGGCGCTTCAAATCAGACCGCATCACTCAAGAGAACTGAGTGCGTCGCTCAATCCACTTGCGCCACCATTCCTTCCTGATTCGGGACGACAAACTAATAAAACTCCCAATCTTAACCCCCTTGCTGACTCATTTAGTCCGTCAGTTCCACTACCTTCTCCTACCCACCCAAGTGCACTTCGCGTTCTATTTCTCAACATCAGGAGCCTGCGTAACAAACTCAATGACATCCTACTGCTCACACAACAACTCAACGCCCCGGATATAGTCTGTGTCAACGAAACCTGGCTCGACGCCACTGTTTCGGACCAAGAAATAGCCCTGACTGGATATAGTGTAACACGCAGAGACCGTAGTGGTAGAGTAGGAGGAGGAGTTTGCATATACTGGAAGTCATGTCTTCCGGTAAAACCAAGAGACGACATAACAACTGATGGTGTGGAAAGTTGCTGGTGTGAAGTCGCTTGCAGGCCCCGCAGTTGTCTTGTTGGAACGATCTACCGCCCTCCATCTGAACCTGTGGGTTACTGGGACAAGCTAGACGAACATCTTTGCGCTGCTCTAAGGCCACAGCCAAATGCTATCGTTTGTGGTGACTTTAATGTGAATATTGACCTAAGTGCCAGGGACCCTCATTATCACTACTTATCTGACTTGCTGAACAGCTATGCTCTGCATCACGGTGTCAACAAGTCTACGCGATTTAGCTCAACAGGACAAGACAGCACCCTCGATTTGATACTGAACAATTTTGATCCTTCCACTACAGCGAAGATCATCCCGGTCGCTTTCAGTGACCATGCTGCCGTGGCCAGTGACTTTCACCTCATTGTGCCTCGTGGATCTGACACCACACGTTTATACCGCAACTATCACCGGATAAACCACGATCACTTCCGGCGTGACTTAACCCAGAAGAACTTGTGTAGTATTACCGGCAACCCAAGCGCCATGTGGACCGAGTGGTCTAGCCGGTTTATTGAGGTTTTGGATGTCCATGCCCCACTTCAAAGTAATCACAGAACGAAGAAGCCTTCAGTGCCGTGGATTGACCGGCAATTGTTGTACTTACTACACAAGCGGAATAGGTTGCACCGAAAGTGGCTCTCTGCTAAGACACAGGAGACTTATGCTGAATTTAGTACAGCCAGACGTGCGGCAACTAGCTACAACAGGACCCGGAAACAGGAATTCCGGTATTTCGGTCACAGTGGAATGGGTGCCAAGTGCTGAGAATCATGCTGATGTATTGTCTCGTGTTCCGCAGCCTTGGGTTGCTCATGCTAAGAAGTTGTGTTCTTCTGCTGATGTCGCTGCTTCTGCCCCCCTCTTCTACACTTTCACATCCATTGGAGTTTGACGTGTTGAAGTCTGGTCAAGCTACTGATGATGCTATCCAGAGCGTTATTCGCGATTTGTCTCGTGACGTCTCTGTTTCTGATCCGTCGTTCTGCAAGTTTCGTAAGCAGTTGTGTGTTATTGATGGTGTATTGTGTCGCACTTGGCGTGACCCCGTCGACGGTGAGGTACTGGTTCCTGTTGCTCCGCAATCCACCGTTCCCGCTTTGATTACTGCTGCTCATGCCAATACAGGTCATGGCAATTGGGAAACTATGTGGCGTTCTCTGTGTCAGTCTTGTTTCTTTCCAGGTATGTCTCCGCTATGCCAGGCCTTTGTGCGTAATTGTCAGGCCTGCCAGGCTGCCAATCCCCGCAGTGGTCCACGTGCTCCTGCTGTTCAGAATGACGTTCCTGTCAAGCCGTAGGACATTGTCCAGATCGATACACTGGAGCTTGGTCTCAACCAGACCGGTCAGTACCATTGTGTGTTAGTGGTTGTCGATAGGTTTTCCCGTTGGGTCGAGATGGTACCCTTGCGGCGTTATGATGGTCGCTCTGTTGCTGAGAAATTTCTGCGTCTCTGTTTGAAGTTTGGTCCGCCGCGTGTGGTGCGTTGCGACAATGGTCATGAGTTCCGCAATGCTATTGTGTCTTCTTTGTTGGATGTTTTTGGTGTTTGCGTTCGTACTGGTGCGGTCCGTCACCCTCAGTCGCAGGGTGGCGCCGAGAGATTCAATCGTACTATTCTCACTCTTATTCGCAAGTTGTTGAATACTGCTGCCGATTGGCTAGCCGAGCTAGAGATTCTCCTCTTCTTCTACCGTACTCGTCCGCATAGTGAATTGAAGATTTCTCCCATGCATGCTATGTTTGGCTGGGAGCCTCGTGCTCTATTTGTGGACGGTATACCATCTACTCTTTCGTCCTCTCTTTGGGTTGATGGTGTGTGTGATAAGGCTGCTCGGGTTCACGACTATTTGACGGCGGTTGTTGCAGAGCACGCCCCTGCGCCTGTTGTTGAGTCGCCTTCTTGTCCGCATGTTGTTGGTGATCGTGTTCTATTGCGTAACCCTGATCGTCGCCAGAAACGTCAGCCCCCGTTCGATTCTGGTTGGTCAGTTAAACATGTTATTGGTCCTGCCAGTGTTGTGATTTGCCGTGTGCATCCTGAGTCAGGTCGTCGTCAGGAAAAGGTGGTCAACGTCGAGCTCTTGAAGCGTGATGTTGGTTTGGTTGTTCCTGATGTGCCGTGTGCTTCTCTAGTGCCCCTGCCTGATGTGCCGTGTGCTCCTCTAGTGCCCCTGCCTGATGTTGGCGATGTTCGCGTTGATGGTCCTCGTGATGATGGTGATGATGATGTTTGGGTTTGCTTGGACATTTCCCCCCATCTGATCATCTGGTTGGTGGTCATTCATTACGTCCCCGTGGTTCTCTGCAGCCCCCTGCTCGCTATCGCTAGGCATCTGTCTTCCCTGCTGTATGTCATGACATGTATGCCCCATCCAATGTTATCAGGTGGAGGGGTGAAAGGGAACTATGGTGTTCGAATACTTATGATAACATTGTGTATGCATTTACAATTATTATTCACGATTTGCTAGAGTTACTTACGTGGTTTGTTATATTCTTGCTCAGTGAAGTCCCTCTGCAGAATACCTCTACGATGTGTCACTATCTGACAGGGTTTACTGTCACCCCGTATCGGGTGCAAGCACCCACTGACAGATCAAACACTTTTATTTCCTCATCTTTGATCTTTCTGTCTTCGTCCTGCTCACTACTGTTTGTCGTTCTAATTTCTGATTTATTTATTTATTTTGCTTCTGCATTTTTTGTGACGCGGGCTGTGCGCAGCAGCGCACCTTTCTGGGGAGACTGGTATCGTTTTAGGTTGCGTCCCGCTACCCTAATTTGTTGCGTGTAGTACGCTGGTCTCGTTTGTGCTGTACTTGTACGCGCACGTTTTGCCAGGGACAGCGGTTTTGCATTCGCTCTTCTTGGCGCAGCCAGTTCTCTCTCGCTTCTCTCTCATTTTCTCTCTCCTTTCAACCATGCATAATTTGTTCCTTATCTGAAAAGTCTGTGATCGTTTGTGTGACGGTGTGCACGGGGTGCATGACTGAGTGGCTGGGAAGGTTTAGGTAACATGACTCAAAACTTACTCCAGTGTGTTCCATGGCATACGGCATGATGGTACATGATGGTACATGGGTGGTTAAGTGTCATCCAGCAGTAACACTGAGTGTCATACACCCATGCCCACTGACAGTACTGTGCAGTGTGGTACTGTTAGGTGTGCAAGACCAGCGTTCCGTCCACGTGTAGAAACGTTACCCCTGTCTTCGGAGCGTGTCCTGGCGACACACACACACACCGCTAAGTTCCAGTCGCCAATGCACAGCCGTTCTAACTGCACAGGCAATGTGCCGATGAGGCTCCATTGTTCACGCCATACCGTGTACACGTGGTGCCGGATTTGATTATTACTATTATTATTATTATGGGGTGGCTTTATTGGTTTTGTGTCTGGATTAAGCAGCATCCCGGGTCACTTCAGACCAAGGGGAGTACTGCTGTTGTATGTGAAGAAAATATAGTGAGGGAGACTGAGAAAAAAAGAAAGAAAAAGAGAGAAAAACTGTGAACAGCAAATCCACAATGATGCATGTACAATCTATTATACAACTAGTCTGCTTCTTTTGAAGTAGATAGAAACATAACACAAGCAGGTACAGAAATAGCAAGAAAGCTAAATCAGAAAACAAAATCCGTTGAAAAGGAACACGACATTAAACCTGAAATCGAGCCCTTCAGCGGCACAATAGCACTGAAGGCAGCGATATAATTCTTCTCATTCAACAACAGGGAAGAAGATGCGACAAAGGTTGCGACTTCCGCGGTACTTGGGGAATTGTGTATTTCTCCCTACATGGGAGCTCGCGCTTTTCCTGACGACTTTAATTCTCACTTGACTGACTCACGACTACCATCCAGAGCACACGAGAAGTACATCGACCCGTCCACTCGGCAAACCTGCAAGAAAGCACCACTCCCTGCTCAATACACAGTGTTTCGGGGAATTCAGCCCTCATCAGTTGAGCTTGAGTAGGCTGAGGTAGATTGTGCCTGAAGAGCACCACTTATATAGTGCTCTCCAGGCACAAACATCACCATGGATACAAACTTACAGAGTCGCTCCATTTACAGCGCGACAACAGGGCGAGCTCCCATGTAGGGAGCAACACACAATTCCCCAAGTATCCCCAAGTATCGCCGAAGTCCCACCAACCTCTTCTCCACATTGTTGTCCCCAGCGCAGGCTTGCGAGTTTGATGGTTTGGAGGCAAAAACGTTGTAAATAACCAACGGCCCTCATCTCTTTCTTCTGCACCTCCATGAGCGACACTGAATCACGCTGCTATCTGCTAAATGGAACAGATTACCTGGAGACGTCCGCTCCAGGTTAACGCTGAAGACCTACGTTCAAAGCAGCAACAGTACCTTACGCAATTGGTCATTGACCGTGACTGTTGTTTCCCTTACCAAGTTCCGCAACAATAGCCAATGCCATGTTTGACAATGGATCCGTGCAATTGATCTCTTGCTAACTATCATTTTCAGTGCATACACACTTTTTGCCCTCTCTTTTTTCCTTCCCTCTTCGCTACCTTGCGGACCTACTCACCTCCCACCGCTTTAGGAGCTACATCTGCGCCTTGATCCTTGAAGGGTGGTGGCGTTAATACGGATGGGGAAAACTCGGCCTCTAGCCGAGTCTGACGCGACCAGTGAAATTTTTACCCTACCTTATTTTTGGGAAGAAATTCGCGTTTGGAATTTGCGAAGTAACACGAAGTAAAAATGTCAAATAAAGCGTTCACTGGGATAAGTGTTCAACGTGTGTCCACTGGACAACACCATTCACCACAGAGAGTGGACAAGTCAAGGTAGTCTCTCTCTCTCTCTCTCTCTCTCTCTCTCCCTCTCTCTCTCTCCCTAAATCTCCATCGGATAGTCTCTTGATGTTTCTCGTCAATCTCCTCCCTTCTATTATTCATCCAGGGTAGATGTTTGTTTGGTCGTGGTTGCAATCTTTATTAATTTCGTGTCGTTGTCTAGATGTCGTATGGGCCTGCAGTAGACCCTAGCGTTCTCGAGATGAATGAATGGAATGTTGCTTTCATGTGGCTTGTACGCCAGTACACCTAAGACGCTGGTGCTGATGCCAGCCTGCAACACTTTCTTAGTTTGTAACAAGCTGATCCAGCGAGCTGTCAGAGATTGTCAGAGCAGCAGTGTCACGTGCAAACGACAGTGACATGGTGGTGACAGTAACTGTTGTCTGATGATGAGCTGAGAGAGTGACGTCATGGGGCCAGGAGTTGGAAAATGAGTACAAAAAGAGAAGTAAGAAGAACAATTCAGATCAGAAGCTACAAATTGTATGAGGACTGGGTATCAATAAGACATCCAGGAGCGAACAACGAATACACGACTGACGGTACAACAACAAGAAAACTAAGACCACCCTTAGAACAAGCAGTGTCAGACCCGAGTCTAACACTCATACGGTGCAGATGGTCGTAAAGACAAGGGTTGCACCAACCGTGGATGGTTGTAGTAAGGTCACTGTTTCCCAACACGGTGGTCTCCGCCTTCTTACATGATGTCAACCAACAGGAGAAGATGGGTTGTACTAGTAGTTCATTCATATCATAATTATTACGTCATGTGTATAACAGATAAAATAAAACCTGGTGCAAGCGATCTCTGGTGTTAGCGACCACTTACATTGACCGGCCGTTTTTCTATGCATGGAGAGTTCTACACAGAATCTTCACTGGATACAGAGACCACCATGCACCTGCCTTGCGTGATCAGCGACCAACTTTTAGTGTACCAAGTGCTAATTTGGACCTGCATACAGCTACCAGAAGTAACCAAACGTGCCATATTGGCTGGCAGGGTTGAAGTGCGCTCGGAAGCAAATGCGTGCAGTCAACAGAAGTGACAAGTGACCAAGGTGACAGGTCAGGATGCGCTGCATGCGATCCAGCGAGGTGTGCTTTGCCTGCATGAAAGTATTCTATGCTCTGCACCTGTCAATATGAGTACATGGAAGTACCAACATGCACAAGTACCGGTATGTGTACAATCCGACATGTCACGAATGTATGCGACCTGCTTCTACAGACCACCTGGCTTTAACGACCGCTTTTGTTTACACGGTCCGTGTTGTTGTCGCTTAAACCAGGTTTTACTATGTAGGTAGTGAGAAATGTAGGTCAGCAAGTATTGAACATTGTGAGGCTCCAAACCTAACGGACAGAGGGTCAGACAAGCTAAGCCAGGGAGAAGTGGATAGATTGACATGGACATGACAAGTATGTCCAGGTCTCAATCATCATAAACACTATACATATATTATCTCCTTATTATTATTATTATTATAGACAACACCTCATGGCATGAGAAGAAAATCAGCCAGTACCTGAGATCTGGGTGTTAACCAACCATGGTGAATAAAAGAAGAAAAGTAATGGTCAAGACGGAGAAGCATGGGAGGGACAGGTGATGGTGAATCTAGTGAGCAGATTTAAATGCGTCCAGGGTACTGGCATTGCGCATAGTAGCGGGCAGCGCAAGCCAAGCAGAGTAAGCAACAAAGAGTGGAGAGCGTACAAGGGAGGACGTTTTAGCCAAGGGGAGGGCAACAGAGCATCTTGTCTGGGAGCCATCTGTGATTCGGAACCAGTTATACACGTTAAGATGAGGAGGATGTAGAGCTAGTTTAAATTTGTGAGCAAAAGTGCAAATTAATTTTTGACGGTGGGTCGACAGTGGGCAAGCATTTGCAAGGACATACAGGGAAGCAGAAGAGTAGAGAGGGGGTAGACTAAACAGGATACGAAGAAGTTTTCTATGGTGGATTTCGAGATGGTCAGCGAGAACCGAGGACAAGCCACACCAGCTAACAGCAGCGTACATGAAAAGAGGCAGGATGTACAGTTTGTAAAACAAAATTTTACATTTGAAAGGAAGATGGAAACAATGGGGACGTATAACACCTAGGGCAGAGCTTGAACGGCTGCAAAGAGCATCAATATGGAAAGACCAAGAGAGACGATCATCAAGCATTATTTCCAGGTGTTTATGGTTGGAAACAACCTTTATGGGTTCTGGGAAATCAGGATGGTGTAAAAGTGACATGGATGAGATTGGGGGAAGGAACATTATTTCGGTTTTAGTCAGGTTGGGTCTAAGTCGCCATGTTTGCATCCAGCGTAGGACACTGCATATCTGAGCCGACACTCGAGGTACAAGAGCCGCTGGGGACGAGGATGCTGACAGTAGGGTTGTATCATCAGCAAATAACGAGACACCTGGGTCTATAGAGGGTAAATCATTTACGTATGCTACGAACAAAAGAGGTCCAAGTATGGAGCCTTGGGGAACTCCAGAAGACACTGGTAGAGGATCAGAGTTGATGGAGAGGGCAGAAACAAACTGTGATCGGCTACTCAGATAGGACTCCAGCCAGGACAGAGCAGGGCCAGACACACCAAAGACAATATGTAGCTTGGCAAGGAGGCCACGATGCCAGACAGTATCAAAGGCCTTTGCCAAGTCAAAGAAACAGAGAGCAATATGGTGTCGAGCATCACGAAGGGTGGCAATGTCTTGTACTAGACGAGCTAGTTGGTCAGAGGTTGAGTCGTTGCGCCGAAAGCCAGATTGGGAAGGGCTAAGGCATGGTGAAATGTGGCAATACAACTGGTCGTAAAATACCTTTTCACATACTTTTGAAAGGGAGCAGAGAAGAGATATTGGACGATAGTTTGAGGCTTGTGATCGGGAGCCTTTACACTTGTAGATGGGCGTGACCTTAGCGATCTTCCAACGATCAGGAAATACGCCGGAGGAGTAGGAAAGGTTGAATATAAGGCACAGTGGGTACGCCAGAGATGGAGCCAGAACTTTGAGAACTTCATTTGGTAGGGCATCAGGACCAGGGCTTTTGTTGCTTTTTAGTCTTTTTAGGTGGCTGCGAACAGATGATGTGGTGGTATGTATAGAGCGCAGATCAGAAGACACAGTCGCAGAACGCTGCAGAGGTGGTATTGGAGAGGAATGGTCGTCTGGAATACCAGCTGATGTGAATTGCGTATTGAGAGTATTAGCTATAGACTTGGGGTCAGTCACCATCGAACCATTGGAAGCTAATAACGGTGGTATGTCTTGACGTGTACTAGTTGTCCTTTGAGTGCGAACAAAGGTATACAGGTTAGGCCTGGAAGAGGGGTGAGATAGGGTGGTAGTGAGCGAACGTAAATATGCTCGATACTTAGAACGTGACAATGACTTCACCAGATTGCGCTGTTTTTTGTATAAAGAAATATTAGCATAGGTGGAGTACTTCTTACTTAAGCTATAGTAGTCGTATTTGAGTTTAATTGCACCTTGGAGATCTTTGTCGAGCCAAGGGATCTTGGGGTTACGGCTGGACTGACGAGGGTGGTGGCTGCCATGTTTGGGTGTAGCGGGTCTTGCTCCGTATTGTGGCACATAGAAGGAGAGCACGTCATCAAGAACTGTGGTGAACTTCTCCACAGCTTCATCAACAGTAGTGGAGGTGAATAAAAGATGCCAGTCACAGGCAAAAAGTGCAGAGTTGATGATTGACCAAGTGGAGGGTGTAACCTTGCGGAAGGCATGTCGCGGAGGGGTAGGAGTCTGAGAGCAGTTGTAAGAGGTGTTAGCAGTGGCAATGTTGTAGGCTAGCGTTGTAATGACTTGCAAATGATCCGATGCAGCAAGCGGGGCAGCATCGTCAACAGAGCGTACAGAGAGGGGGCGGTTCGTAGCAAGCAAGTCCAGACAGGACAGTCTTCCATTCGGAGCGACACAGGTGGGGAAATTGACAAGCTGCTGGAGGCCAAAGCTAGAGAACACGTGTGATAGCTCCGTACCAGCACGCGATGTGGTGTCACCACTCCACCAGTCAGAATTGTGGGCATTGTAGTCACCGGTAAGAAAAACATCAAACAAAGAGAGGTCCAAGGAACACAGCGTGTCGGTAAGTATGTCGCAAAAGGAGATGATATCAAGAAGGGATTGTGAAGGGGGGCGGTAATGACAGCAAATGAGTAGCGGATTGGCCCGGAGACCTGCCGGTGCACCAAGCTCAAGCCATAAGGCCTCGCTTTGGGGAGAATCAAGGTCATGGCGACGGGTGCAATGTGGAAATGTCCCATCACGTATGAGAATGGCCACGCCACCATAGCCACGTAGGTTTGATCTCAGGTTCTTATGTGTAGATCTGTCTTTACGGAAGCATGTGTAGCCTGGAACACTGAATAAAAGTGACGGGCTTAGCCAGGTTTCTGTTAAACATATTATGGTGGGCTTGTTGGCATGACATATTGCGTAAAATTCCGGAAGTTTGTTTGTTACAGAGCGACAGTTGATAGTTACAATGTTAATGGAATGTGCGTGGTCCGGGAAAAACGGGAAAGCATGAGCGCTCAACGGGGTGAAGCCCGACGTTAGTTTGTGGTAGGGGGCGTCGTGGAGCTGCTGTTGATTAGGAGTTTTAGTAGTTTGTCGTCCAGAATCAGGAAGGAATGGTGGTGCAAGTGGAATATGACCACTAGATATAGAAGAATATGTAACGCAATGAGGGGAAGGGTGTGATGAACTTGCGTGGGGCACAAAGGGTTGGGCAAGAGGATTTAGCTGTTGGCTAGGTGACGGAGGACCCATCACTTGCTAGCGGAGTCGGCATAGCGCCATTTGCGGACGGTGTGCGCAATGGTGTCGGGCCAGAATTCCTTGTCAAGCAGCGTTTGCTCAAACTCTTCCGCGACAGAAACGCGTGCATAGCAGGTACCAAAGTATTGGGTTTCGGCAATTGTGCATGCGTATACATCAACGCCCCTATCAGCGCACCAGGTGACAATGGACTGTGCCTTACTTCCAGGGCTAACATTCCCGACAAAGAAGGCACATCGCTTGGGAAGATGTGTGCCAGTGAGTGTGTTGGGGTTGGGGTTTTCTGTGGCCATTTTTCTGTAGACAGACACAACTTTGGATTTTGTTGCCCGGGCAATGGGATCGCTGTGGGCCGCTGATTTATTGCTCCTTCGCCGCTGTTCTTGCCAGTTGTTCTGATGGGGATCGCCTTCTGTGCTCCCAGCAGCACCCTGAGT